TGACCCGCCCCGAAACAGAATTTGCGGATGACCAATGAGATCAAAAGGTCTTTCTTCTCAAAGGTCGTCAACTCACTATTCCTGAACAGTGTGGCTCGCAGCCGCTGGAATATGTGCTCACATGACTGCCTCTTACACACTATATCCTTCAAGCATGACCCACCATGATCAACCTGCCCACCCAAATGGGTGTAACTGTCAACGATACGCACTTCAACAACTCGACCTCCGGGAAGATCAGCGGAAAATCCCGGTGAGGGCTTGCACAGGTAGTTCATCCTGGCCTCTCTACTTCCACTTCCTCGGAAGACGCAAAGCGCCTCCGTTTTGCCAGCATCATAATTAAGCTCCACACCGATGTCACGGCTGCACATGTCAGCATGAAACACAATGCGCTGAAGATGTGGAACAAGCTCAAGCGAAAAGCAAGGCGGCGCCAATATGGCCACGTCGTCCGCCCATGTTGGCGCCGGCGCGTCAGTCCCTTCAGGCCGCACAACAACCGTAAGACCTTCCTCGCGGAGTCGTTCGTGCAACTCGTTCAAGAAATGCGACTGAACAATTTGAAAAAGACTATCTGCCGTCAGAGTTCCGGGGACAGTTCCAGCATGCGTGCATTGTACTACCCCCGGACGCGCACCGGTTTAGGGATTTAGGGTTTAGGGTTTAGGGGTTTAGGGTTTAGGGTTTAGGGTTTAGGGTTTAGCGTTCCCTTTTAGAGGCTATCAGAACGCTTGCGAGTTTACGATAAGCGAACTAGTACCCTTGCAACAGCAATACCAGCCAAAACCTCGGAGTCAGCGCTCAGAACCAAGCATCGTAGCAGCAGGGCGTGGCGTTCAGGGTGTTGAAAGCCCTTATTCTTGAAGTCAGATTTCGGGTTAGGCAACTTGCAAGCAGCTCAATGTTACTCCGGAGAGTAAAAGGACCCCAATCCTCAACCCTAAACCCTACACACTAAACCGTGTAAAGTCCTGAACTAGGGCCCTGGGCCTACAACGCCAAGCCCAAAACTCTACACCATGTGCCGTAAATAGGCTACAAACCATCACCATGCTTCGTGAGCCCAAATGCCGCAACCTTCAGCTTTCAACCCGAACTGCAGGTTTTCCTGAAGTTTTTTGGAAATGAATCTCCACCATTAGCTAAATCCAAAACCCTAAACCTCCACATCCTCAGCCCCAAACCCCCAAACCCCCAAAGCATAAGCCAAGCCCTACCTTGCTCTACACACATGTAAATTTAAGAACCTAGGAAAAAGTAGGTTTTGGTAGTTTAAGGTATATAAGCCCTAAACTTACAAAGCCTACCTAGACTCTACAAGGCTTTGTTTTCAATGACATATAAAAGAGGACCATAAGAAGGAGCTTTACAAAGGATGTCTCTTCAGGTTTCAGGTAAACCCTGAGCCCTAAGCCTTAAACCCTAAACTCGGAACCTTAAGCGCTAAGCCCTGAACTCTAAACCCAAAGCCCTAAACCAAAGGCCCTAAACTTGAAGTCCTAAACCCTAGACTCTAAACTTTGAGTCTTAAGCCCTGAATCCCAAGCCCTAAACCCTAAACCCTGAACTTTAAGTCCTAAAACCTGAATCCTAAGCCCTAAACCCTAAACCTTCAGCCCTAAACCCTAAACCCTGAACTTTAAGTCCTAAACCCTGAATCCTAAGCCCTAAACCCTAAACCTTCAGCCCTAAACCCTAAACCTTCAGCCCTAAACCCTAAACCCTAAACAGAAGGCCCCAAGACCGTCTTCAGGCCCTGGCTCGGGGCGTCGGCCTTCCCGGCCTCACATCGCCGATGCGCAGCGGCGGCGAAAAAAAGCGCGCGCGCGTGCGCCGTTTGGGAATTTCGAGGTTTCGAGTTTAGGGGTTGAGTTGAGGGGTTTAGCGGTTTAGGGGTTGAGGGCTTTAGGGGTTTAGGATTGAGGGTGGATTGGGGTTGAGTTAAACGACATCAAGATTAGGATTGCGCTAGAGGGTTTTTGAACGGCTACTTTACGGGTCACACTGTGGGCATTATAAGGGCCTTAAGGAAGAAGCCCGAGGAACCAGGAATACTATTCCTCAGGCTTCCTTCTTAAAACAGTGCACCATCGCAGACCTCAAAGCCCAAGCCCCTGTAGCACTAGCATGTGCGCAAAGGGCGGGGAGGGGCGTGGAAACTTCGAACATCCCGTCTGTCGGACCCCTTTACAACAGGGCTCCTTCAAACGAAAGGGAGCGACTTTCAGTGCGTTTTTGGAAGGTGCAGAGAGGGGGGACACGATCACGCTTGGTGCGGGGGCTTGCGGGAGGTAGCTAGAAAGCCCGGAAGGTGAGCTTCAGGATTTTTGTCTGGGCAGAGGTGAACCAAGCATCGATGGTTTCAGGGGTAGGAAGTGGAAGTTACCTTGAAACAACTGTTAATGAAGGTTATGCCTGCATGTATTTACATACAGGCACATATATGCACATGTATGCGGGCGTGTATGTATCCAAGGCCCTTGCAGCGGTAGAAACCCTATAGACCCTGAACCGGGCACCTCGCCTACCTGGAAGCCCGAAAGAGCCTACACCCTACAAAGCGCCTATGCAGGCTTGGTTGAACTTTTAAAGGGTCCTTCTTATGACCCTTCTAGGACCCTTGCGGAACCTTGAACTCTAAACTTAGACTCTAAACCCTAAACTCTTATCTTTGGCTCAAGGCTTTCCACGCAGTGGATTGCCCCACAATGAAGACCTGAGAGGGAGCCTGGGAAGCAGATCGCAGGCATCGATTGAAGTGCCGGGGCCCCAGTTCAATAAGGTTCTTAGTTAAGTCACCAGAACAAGGAAACCATGTTATTTACTGTTTGCGTGCAGCGTTTAGGCTTGCAGTAGAAGCCAGAAAGCTAGAATGAGGATAATGATGTTCCAAATTTCTGGCTTCTACTATGGGGTGTAGAGCGAGTCTTTAGGGTTGCGGTTGTTGTGGTACAAAGCACCCCGCAAGCTTCAAACGCCCGAGCCCTACACACATCTACGATAAGGGCCTGAAGAATTCCCTATATTATACTGTTTTAGGGGCTTCTAATCATAGTTATGACTAAAATTGGCCCCAAAACCCTAGTCTAATTATTCAGGCCCGAACATATTGATCCTGAAAGGCCAGCAAAGAGCTGAACAGAACGGTCGTCCCATGCGGTGTCCGAAGTGCAGTTTCAGGATCATTCGAGCCGGCGCTTGAATATAGGGGTCTTCATAGTTGCAATCGGGCCGCCTTTTGCGTAAGGGTTCTGTAAAGGGCTCCTTGAAGTGTTCTTCGAAGGGATACAGTAAGCATACGGATCTTCAGAAGTCGGTGATAACCCCTAAATGCAAAACCCAAAACAATAACCCAGAACTCTAAGCCCTAAACCCCAAACCCTAAACCCGAAGAAGGAACCTTTAAGATTAGCATTACTCTGTATTCATGCTTATACATCAATTCCTGCAGCCCCAATCCTGTGACTGAAGTCTCTTTCGATTCTTTCGTTAAGGGTTTATAGGGTCTGACAGGGGGTAACACGGGCTTCGACGAAGTAAGGTGTTGTGTGAGGGAGTTTGTTGAGTGTATAGAGGGTGCCTTTTGAATGTTGCTGAGGGTATATTCGAGTTTTGTTTGCGAAAGCCATTGATCTCAATCCATCATCTAGTTTTAGTAGCTGAGTAGGTAACCTTTAACCTGTTTGGGTTTATATAATGCTACCACCATTGAAAAGGCTAACCTTTTATCGGGGTAGGGTACTCACCCCTAAGTATTGGATATAACCCCGGCGGACTACAACACGGTTCCACAGGGCGCAAAAGCCGCTATAGATAGACTGTAACCCAAAACCCACATGCCTTGCAACCCGTTTACCCAAGGACAGATAGACCCAATATAGAGGCCGGACTACTTATTGATAACATTCCTTTCTGGTCCCTATATACTTTAATGTGTTATACCATGCTTACGGTGTATGCCGACCCTGTCAATCCTGTCAAACATCTTCGCGCCCAAAACCTGGCATGAAACCCGGCAACGCTGAATCCGAAGACCCCATAAGGAATGACCTTAAACCCGCAACCCGAAGATACCGCAGTATATGGGCCGGAGAAAATAGAAAGAGTATCCCCATATAGTCCTTGTGTACTGATATTCGGAATGACGCCAAAACCTACTTGTTGTGTTCAGGCCATCTATCAAACCCATAAGTCTTGTATGAGCACGCCATTCAAACCCATTAGTCATCAAGATAAAAATGGTAACCCTGTCAGCCTCCCCAAACCCTGAACCCTGAATTCTGCCCACGATTTAGTGCCAGAGAGCCAATCTCCCGTAGTCGGGGGACGAGTTCGCCGTCAAGACCGTGCACAACAACGCTGCAAGTGCTGCTCGGGAAAGGGAAGCAATGGCCATGTGTGGCTTGCCCTTCATCCTGAAGCTGCACCAAACATACAACCCGGCCGCAGCAAGTCTGCTTTGGGCATTGAAGTTGCGCAAGGACATGGCGGTTCGGCGCTGCAAGATCTTGGCCGTGCGGCTTTTATAGACGAAAATGTGATCATGATCGGCCGGATCACAAAGGTTCGGCGCTGTAAGGACAGGTAGTTGAGCCTCGTCGGAAGTCCATCGACGGCCTTCCACCGCATTCCTCCTCGCATTGGTAAAGCGTAAAGTCTTGATAAGGGCCACAGCTTGAATGACTGCAATAGTCTTGATGAGCAGGTACAACTCGGAGTAACAGCAACAAGTTCAACATAACCTGAAGCAGAAATTCAGCATAAAAAGAATCATAGCCAAAGTAATCGGAATAGTAATTCATAGCGTTGATGTATGCATATTCAACAGTCATAACGAATACCGAAAAACAAGAAAACCATAGCAACAATAGTGCTAGTTATAGTAATAGAAAGTAGAAATAATCATTAGTAGTAGTAGTAGTAGTAGTAGTAGTAGTAGTAGTAGTAGTAGAAGTAGAAGTAGTGGTAGCCTCAAGACATCTCAAGACTGTCAGGTCATGGGGGCCAGGTGTCTATGGGCCTTCGCCGGGCTTCTGTCGCCCAGCTTAATCACGTTAGGCACTGTCTGAGTTTTACAGGAGTTTCATATGCATTCATAGGGAGCTATAGGAGTTCCCGCGGAGTTTGTGAGGTTCAGGGCTTAGTTTTGGTTTTCTTTCGATGGGGTTTGTTACGGGGGGGCCTTCATGTAGAGGGGGGGCGGGCAGAAGTTAAGTAGACTGCGGTGTTCCCGGGTAGAAGTCAACCTGCAACGCCAGAACGGTATGCCGGAGCTGCGGCTCCTTCTTCCGGGACTGTCGGTTTAGGGCTCATGAGGTCCAGACGCGAGAGGTTCCCCAACTAAGAGCATCAGGTTGTGTAGCGATGCTCTATGATTGTTTGGTAAAGAACCTTTACAACCTACGTCCTTTTCGAAAAAAGTATGAAACTTACAAAGACTTCGGCAATTTCGGAAAGGTATGCAGGTTGTTGTGGGAGACATCGAGTTCTCATGTGCTAGCGGCTTTTAATCCTAGCCTTTAGGAGGGGCCCCCACTCTGTAATAGTGGTAGAATAGGAACATAATAGGAATATAATAGGGCCCTAATATAATCCTTATGGTCACTATTACAGGGTGGGGGCAGCTTCTAACCTAGCCTTCGTAAGTAAACCTCCAAAGCCTACACCGCCGACCACGTGAGCGCTGCTAGCAGAAGTTTCTCGGGAGTCCCCCTGTTGCAAGCAAGATTTACATGAAGTAGGGTTCATATTCCCATTTTGGTGAGGGTATATCGGGCTCCTTATGAAACTTGGTCAGTGTATATATTGGGTGTTGAGATGTGGGCGTATTAGCAATCAAATCGTACCCTACATGCTTTAGCTCCAAAGGCCAAGCTCTGAACCCAAAGCCCTAATAATTACCTATACTATTTTGGGGGGCTCCTCATTATAATTACCGTAAAAACCCTATTCAAATCATTCAGGCCCCTCTTAGACTTTGAAACCCCAGGCCTTCGTGAGGATGGGTAGCAACATTCCCTAAAGCCCTAGGTCTACCCTAAACCCTAAACGGACTGTTCTTGTTGGGTTGAGGCAAATTGTGGTCTCTGTAGTTCCTGAAATTTAGTGGGTGTAGCATCCAGGGCCTGTGGTTCAGGGTTTCGGGTTTGGGCGCTGGAGTTGGAGGTTTAGGGTTTAGAGAGTGTTTGAGAAGCCTGGGAAGCCGTGGGAATTGAAATTTTCTATGCTTGGAAGTGGCCCTGGTCGACTTGATCTCGTGAATCTTCTGGATGTTATGAGCCCTAAGCCTAACTCCGAACCTAAGCGGCTGAACCCTTAAATCCTAACACCTACAACCCCCAAATCCTGAAACTTAATACAAACTCCTTCGTCCTGATCCTCAAACCTTTAAGCTCAAGCCTGGAGTCGTTGCACCCCAGCAAAAATGAGCCATTCCAGAGAAGCAGGGTTTAGGGTTTAGGGGTTTAGGGTTTAGGCTTCAAAATCTCTGCAAGCCCTAAACCCCAAACGTCTAAACTCTCTACGCTCCAAGCCCTACAGCCGCAAGGTTCCCGCAACCGTAAAGCCCTAAACCCTAAATTGCACGCGAAGCCCCTAACCAAAGCTCTATAGAACCTGGTAGGAGCCTTTCCGAGGAACCCTCTAAGGAAACCCTACCCTAAATCGTAAATCTTAAATTCCTAAACCCTAAACCCCTAAACCCTACACCCTAAGCCCTGAATCCTAAACCTCAAAAGGAAATTCTCTAAGGGAACCCTCAATCTCCTCTCCGAGGGCACTTGTGGAGAGCGCCTTCCTTAAGCTGGTGCGCCGAGGGGAAGTGGGGCAGAATTCTTACGATTAAAAGTTCCGTCAGCGTCATTAATAATATTACTTGTAACTAGTATTGTTCGTGGTCATTAATATTTGCTTGTAGTACTGTTGTTAATAGTATTGTTTTACTATTATTAGTATTGTTAGTGTCATTAGTGCTTCTACTAGGAATACTAACATTATTGGTCTTACTGTGATTAGTATTGTTAGAGTCAGTCATATTTTTAGTTGTAGTACCAGTGTTATGAGTATTACGATAATTGGTACTGCTATTTTTGGTACTATAATATATACTGTTATACTGTTGTTATTATTATTGCCACTAATATTGCTATCACCATTAATAGTATCATCAGTAATTTTAGTACTATCAACATCTGTTTGATCTTCTGTTTGAAGAGTATTGGTTAGAAGCTGCCCCCCCACCCTGTAATAGTGGTATAATAGGAATATAATAGGGCCCTATTATATTCCTATTATACCACTATTACAGGGTGGGGGGGGCAGCTTCTAAAGTATTGGGTTAGGGTGGGGTTTGGGTTTCAGGCGGTCTTGGGGTTCGCCTAACAAGGTGGGTTGGTGGTTTCGGGTGCTTTCGTGCTGGAGAAACCCCTAGACCCTAAACCCTAAGCCCCTAAACCCGAAACCCTAAGCCCCTAAACCCTAAACCCTAAACCCTAAACCGCAAACCCTAAACCCTAAATCCTCAAGAATCAGAGTAGGGTTCGGGTTTAGGGTGGGCTCAGGGCTGAGATTCCGGGTTTGGAGAAGGATGAGGGTTGATTGGTCTTGGGTGCAGGGCGAAGGCTTAGGGGCGGCTTTGGATCCCAAGTATTAGGGTTATGGGGTTGGGCTTTGTTGTTAAGGGTTCAGTCCCGGCCTGGATGAATGAAGTCCAGGTTTTGGGGTTTATGGAGTCCAGTTAGCATGGTGGTTGGACGAAGTTGACGAAACCCAAAACACCGAAACCGCTGAAACCGAGAAGATCTAAACCCTAAATTCCCCAAGCTACTGTAGGCTGTAAACCTGAGACATAAACGTAAAACCAGTGACCTTGAAACCCTTCACCCTTAATCCTTAAAGCGGTACTTCATAGGGACCCTGAGGGGGGTAAGGGGGAGGGGGTTAGAGGACTATACTTCCTGTCCTTATTATGGGCATTAATTACGGCGCCCTCCCCCCCCCCCCCCCCCCCCCCCCCCCCTCCCCGTGTGCGGCTTAAACCGTAAACCCTATTTAAGCCACCCACCCCCCCCCCCCCTATCCCCCCAAAGGGTCCCCATGAGCACTTTTGGTGATTTGCGTTTTGGTACGGAAAGGTCGTTGTTCCCCAGAGACTCACTAATTACTAATGCCCCTATATTATACTACCCCTTAAAGGAACCCTCATATAGACCCCTTTAAAGGAACCCTCATATAGACCCCTTTCAAGCAACCCTACTCTGATTCTTGAGGATTTAGGGTTTAGGGTTTGCGGTTTAGGGTTTAGGGTTTACGGTTTAGGGTTCATATAGACCCCTTTAAGGGAAGCCTAGGGCCCAGATCTTACTCCAGGAGCCCCTGAGTCTTCCCCTGGCATCCGAGAAGAAGGAGAAGGAAGTGAAGGCTCGACATGCAGCCGGGCTTCACATGGAGTTTTTAGGGTTTAGGGGTTTAGGGTTTAGGGTTTTGTTGGTTTTATAAGGGTTTTATGCGCATTCTAAGCGGCCCTTTGCACGGTGACGATATAAAGTGAGCTACTATTCCTAAGTCGTTTTGCGAGCCCTGAATCGCTGGTGTTCAGGTTTTCGTGGGGCTTTAGGACATTGAACCCTAAACCCTGAACTCTCAATCGGTGTTGAGGCCTTCAGCGTTGAGGAGCTTATGGTTAGAGGATTCAGGGTGCTAGGGGTTTACAAGGGCTTAGCTGCACTATAAAATCTGCTAGTTTTCCTTATTTTTCCTAAGAGAAGTCCTTCACGATTTCGGGTCCAGGTCGGGCTTATGGGACCAGTTCAGGAGTTAGGGCATCATGGTTTAGGAACATGTGTTTTTGCGGTTTTAAGGTTTGGGGTTTTGGGGTTTTGGAGGGTTTAGGGGTTAGGGGTTCTTAGGGTTTAGGGGTTAAGGGTTAGCAATGGGAGTGAACGCCGAGCACTGTCATGAACTTGTAAGCTCGCTGGCCTCGCTTGGCTTTGTGCCCGGGTAATGCAAATCCGTGAGTCCGGAGTGCCAAATGACTCACGTGCCGCCCACAATGGAGCAGCATCCAACTCACCAATAGGGGTGCAGACGCTCACAAGGATTTGGCCAATACCCACGGTTCATTCAACTTCACCATAGGTGTAGGCGATTACCGCGGTGGTGGCTTGTGGGTCGAAGAGGCAACCCGTGCATTCAACGACGGTCTCATTCAGAGGTCATGCGGAAAGCTGGCGCCACTCTCCCTCGGTCTGCTTCGGTAGGCATTTTGAGCATTGAGAAGTCCTAGAGAGTATTCGGGAGACCCCTTAAAGCGGACCCTTCTTAACCCTGCTCCTGGCTCTCTTAAAGGGGACCTTACTGTGAGGGTTTATATCCCCAAGGGTCCCCCTAATCCTAGCTCCCAAGAAGGTTCGGCAGGTCGACGCCGCTTTAGCTGACACGAAGCTTCCTTCGCAATAAAAGTGTGTGTGTACGTATGTATGTACCCTTAACCTACCAGAACCTACTCTTTTGTAGGGTCCCTATAAATCCCATATTAGGGTTTATAATAAGAACCTACAAGAAGTAGGGCTCAGTAGGTCTAGGTGTGTGTGTCTGGTTGTAGATGCGTACATCCAACACCATATATGACAATCGAAAACAACTAGAACTAATCAAGCACAATCACCAAAGAAATCACGCACATAAAGCATTAGGGATGGTCATTGTTCAGGGTTCACGGTGCAGAAAAAGTTTGTGGGAGGCTCCCGGGGTTTGGTGTACAGGGGTAATTGGCCGGGTTCTGGCGAGGGTATGTGCAGACGGCTCCTGTGGTGGTGTTGGAGGTGTGTGTGTGTGTGTGTAGCTAGGCATCCTTCTGAGGGTAGCTTCACATGTCGTAGGCATTAGGGCTCTTGGGGTTTGTCCTAGTGGAAGCTTTCAGAGTCGTTATGGAGATTTTCGGTTTTGCGTGTACTGTGGCCTGTAGAGTCTTAGAGTCCTTTGTAGGGTTGCATGCAGCTTTATAATGCTTGAATACAGGTACGGGGTCGGTGTGTGTGTGTGTGTGTGTGTGTGTGTGAGTTTGGGGATCTAAGTACTGCAGGTTGCAGGGTTTTAGATTTTGGGGCCAGGGTTTCGCTAGGGCTTGGCCTCGGGTGAAGGACTTGGGACTTAGTGTGTGACGTTAAGGATTTAAGCTGGGATATCGGGTGGAAGGTCAGCCTTCTTAGTGAACTATCTCCTGGAGCATGTAGTTCTGGAGTCTACAGTTTAGAGTTGAGAGTTTAGGGTTTAGTGTGCTGGCATGTAGGTTTGGGGTGTCGAGTTTGGGAAGAAGTGCGTGGAACCAACGGTTTTGTCCCAAGGCCCTACCTAGCCGCTGAGACCTTTAATCATAAACTGAGAGTTAGGATTATGGGGACCCTTGGGGATATAGGCCCTCTCAATACGACCCCTTTTAAGAGAGCCAGAAGTAGGGTTCAGAAGGGGTACCCTTTAAGGGGTCTCCCTAATAACACTACCTATAAACACCCAGCATCCTTGCGGAATTTCCCTGATATCGGCCTTCCACATGAAAGTATTGCCGATCCTTGTCAGTATGATTATATACAACTATTTGCTTAAGAACCACCAAAAAATAAAAGATATATTCCTTATGGGGGTAATATAGGGATTATTATTTTTAATTTTTGGGGTTTCTTAAGCAAATAGTAGATTAGCTTTTTATTGGCTTTGTCTCTGATGGTGGTGATGATGGTGATAGCCCTAAAGCCGACTTGCAGCACACCCTTTCCCAGCCCAAGAGGTCAAAGAGCCCAACGAAACCTGAACCTAAACCCTACGCGATAGCAAAGTTCATATTCAAACCTCTGACACCTGAACCCTGAACTCCCTATTATAGAAGCCTCAAAAATTAGCAACGCTATTCCTAGGAGTCCTTAGTCTATTTCCGGTAACTTGTCCCCGCCACACATCCCAAGACCCTATTCCAAAGGCTTGAATTTGAATTTGAAGGTCACGTTAAGCCGTAAACCCCCACGCCCGAAACTCCCGAAGCAGGACCCCGTAGACACGGACTACCACATCGACCTCCCGGATCACAGTTTCGTGGATGCTGGGTGCTCAGCAACTTAAGTACGGAGGTTTTTAGGATTTTGATGGGCTTACGTTCTTTCAAGTTTTAGCGCTTTAGGGTCTTAGGGTTAAGGGTGTTGCAAATCTTAGGGTTTAGAGTTAGGGGTTTTAGGGTGCCCATCAGGGTTCATGGTAGGGAACTCGAGGCCTCAGTATATGTGGGTGGTTGTCAAAATTACGGTCCCTTTTTGGGTCCCTATTATAATACAGCACCTAATATTTATGGTACCCAAAAAGGAACCCTAATTTTGACAACCACCCATGTCTTAAACGAGGCTTCCATACATATTTCATCGTCCATGATCTCTGGCGAGCAGTCGGTTCAGGGTTAAGGGGTTTAAGGTTTATGGGTTTAGGGGTTTAGGGTTTACGGGTTTAGGGCTCAACCGCCACACCCCCAAAGTCCCAAAGTGTACTTGGAGGGTCGGGGTACTTAGTAAGTAGGTAGTATGTAGACTTATAAGTACCCCAAAAGGGACCCTAATTGGGGTTATGGTACTTATAAGTCCCCAAAATAACCAGTTACTAAGTCCCCCGACCCTCCAAGTAGGGTTTCCGGTTTCAAGTTCAGGCTCGAGGCTTTGCGGCTTAATAGCATTGGCAGGCTTTTGTGGCGTTCAAGGATGAGATGACCCTAAAAGAACCCACCTTTAGGGTTCCTTATTACGACCTCCTTTTATAACATTAGTCCTGTAAAGTGTAAGCTATTCAAGCTAATGTAGGAACCTGATTAAGAAACCCTGGGCCGATAACCCAAAAGAGTAGGGTTCATCCCTAGTAAGGGGTCAAGGTTTATTAATCAGGTTCCTACATTATAGTAGCACTGGATTGGGGCGTGCAGGCTTTTGTGGCGTTCGAGGATGCTCCCGATGATTTTGAAGGCTTTTGGCATGGCCTTTGGGTCTAGGGTGCAGGGTTGAAGGTCAACGGTCGACGGTTTTGCGATGACGGGTATACATATTGTGGTCTTGAGTTTTTGATCGTTGCTTGAAGACTGTTGGGGTCTATCAAATCCGCAAGTAGTCATGCAAGCTTCGTTTCACCAAGAGGTGAAGCAGGACCTAGGTACAACAGCTGCCTTCCAACGTCTGGTGGTTGTCTGTTTAGAGTTGTGGGGTTTGTAGAAGTAGACGTGTTTCTGCAGGGTTGTCAATGCTTTGACTCTGGTGCATGCTAGGTTGATATCGAAAAGCACCTCAACCCCTACGTGGACAAGCGTTACGATGCGCACCTCAGCTTGGGAGATGGGTGTTTTCAAGTGCGAATGTCAGAGACTAATGTTGAATGCTGATGAGTGTTGGAGGGGGGAACCCCCAAACAAATAAACTTAAACTCAATACCCTGGTACCCTCACCAATAGTTTGAATAACAGCAATACTTGGAGTAATAGTGATGTTGCTTTCCGCTTTATTGTGTAGGGTTTAGGGTAATGCAGGAACCTGATTAAGAAACCCTGGGCCTATAACGTAGTAGGATTCATATAAGGAACCCTAATCAAGGCCCAACGGATTAAGAGTTCCCAAGATACCGAACAAGGCCGGACGAAGTTTCCATTGTTGGGGGCCCGCTTGCAAATGCCATGCCGTGCAATGCCAGCGGAATCCCGGTGCCCACCACCCACTATGTGTAACGGCTGCTGGGCGCCAGCGCCGATGCGCCCGCGTGTTCCCGAGACCTCGTAGTGCTGTTTTTTGCACAGTTTCTTTTATGTATTTGTATATATAGATGTCTATGTAGGATCTAGTGTTACGGTTTTGAAAGCCTGAAGGTTTAACCAACCTCTCTTGGCATGTACACTAAGCCGTTCAAGTTGAAGGCTTTGTCATTGCAACAAGGGTCCCAAAAGAAAGTGCTTTTTCCAAGGAGGGGGGCTTATGGGAGGCTTTATCGGGTAAGCCCAAAATCAAAGGGGAAAAGGAGGGACCCTTAATGGGACCCTTACCCTATAATGGGCTATATAATGGGTATGTACTAGCTATATTAAGGGTACATACCTAGGGGTCCTTATTAAGGGTCTCCTCTTACCCTCGGACAAAACTGTTTGCACAGTTCTAACCAAGTCGGTTGAACAGCCCGCGAGCTGTGGCGTAACACGAAGCACAAAACCTTCCAGTCTGAGAGAGCAGATGCACCGAGGAATGTGGCGCAGCTGCGGAAAGCAACTGCCACGACAGATGCCAAGGCATGTACCTGCCAAAGACCTTATGCCCAAATGCTAAGCCTCAAATCGGCGAAGCGTAACGCCTAGATCTCAAATCCCAAAGCTCGAACCCTAAACCCTGCCCGACCTAAACCCTAAACCGTCGGACCGAAATCCAAACCCCAAACTCTGCAGAATCATGCAACGCCCGTAGAGGGCCCTACAAAAAGCGCAGGAGTGAGGCTCTCAATACTAAGGAAGGCACCCAGAGACCAACGAGACCAAAGCCCTTCTCTAAGGATTTTTGAATTGAAGCAACAACCGCCAAGCTGACCACCTTCTTTGGGACCATTGCTATGTATCAAAAGGGGCCCCCACCCTGTAATAGTGGTATAATAGGAATATAATAGGGCCCTATAATCCTTATAGTCACTATTACAGGGTGGGGGCAGCTTCTAAGCTATGCAAGGATACCTCCTTCGACTTGACGCTGCTTGAGAAAGGATGCTTCATGTCCCTCTTTGCTTCTTTCATACGGCTTAAGTTCCAGGTAGCGGCTGTCCAGGCCTGTCGTTTTAGGCCTTCAGCTTTCCGGTTTACGATTTAGGGTCAGCGGTTTCGGGTTCAGGGGTTCGGGGTTCAGGGTGTAACGGGGTTTGGGGTAGGGTTTAGGCATGAGAGATCATGGGTTTACAGCTGAGGGTTCGGGGATTCCCAAAACGTCCTAAAGCCTTAATCTAGGTGCAACATCGGGAGACCTCGTATGTGAGGTGCTTTCATAAGCTTAGGAGCAGTAGGGGGTACCGTGTTAAGCAGTAGTCAGGGTGAATTTCTGGGACGACTTCTGAGTCAAGCCCATCTCCTGAGCCTGAGCCTCTTGCAGTTTGCTATGAGGCCAAGGCAGCCGCGGCGGAGGCGCCGGCGAGGGTGCAGGGTCAGGGTTCTGGGGCGTGGGTTCAGCGTTGACTGTTTACGGCCTACTGAAAGTGCCGGGTTGAGGCTTCGGGTAAACCTTCACTTGTCACAGCCTACTGGCTTCGGAGGGTACAGACCCACAAAGTGTGTATAGAGAACCCATGAAAGGACAACCCACAGAAAGTCGCATCTGATTGTTTGAGTTTTGGGTTTCTGGATGCGTGGGGGTGAGTATAGAGCTCTGAGCAGGTAACACTACTACCCTCCTATAGATCCTATTGAGCCATTCTTTTGCGCACTCCAAAATTCAATCCCTTGTCAAAATTTGACCCTTACCTAAACCCTAAACCCTAAACCCCTAAACCCTAAAACCCTAAACCCCTAAACCCTAAGCCGTGGGGTGTGGGGGGGGGGTGGGGTTGAAGTTTTGGTGACTTCGGTCCGACGCTTGGGGGCCGCAGCTTGCGAGGAAGATGGTGGGGCCCTAGATGGGAAACTCTAAGGATTATAGGGGCCAAAAAGCACATAAGCATAAGCATTTTACAGGGATATCCCTACCTGAATGGGCTTCAGTATAAGGGAGGTTATATGGGATATCCCTATCCTAATTTTAGCTTATGTGCTTTTTTTGGGCCCTATCTAAGGACCTTAACCCACCAAACCATATCAGGGTTTGTAATAAGAACCTACGTACCAAAAAAGTAGGTTATGAAGGTAGGTAGTGCTTGGGGATTGGGCTTAAGAGGATCTTACCTACTAATATTTTTCAAAGGCTTTGACAGCACCTCCTAGGGACGCCTAGGGTTCAGGACCCAAAGACTCCAATATCCCGTAATTAAGGAATATACCTTAAATTTATAGTAGGATCCCTGATTTGGTTTAAGGCATATCCCTTAGTTAAGGAATCTACTTTAAAATATAGTAGGATCCTTAATATGGTTTAAGGTATATCCCTTAATTAAGGAATCTACTTTAAGATATAGTAGGATCCTTAATATGATTTAAGGCATATCCCTTAATTAAGGAATATACTTTAAAATATAGTAGGATCCTTAATAAGATTTAAGGCATATCCCTTAATTAAGGAACATACTTTAAGATATAGTAGGATCCTTAATATGATTTAAGGCATATCCCTAATTAAGGGATATACTTTAAAATATAGTAGGATCCTTAATATGGTTTAAGGCATATTCCATAATTAAGGGATATTGGAGTCTCTGGGGATTTAGGGCTCAGGGTGGAGGGTTTAAAGGTGAAGTGAAGAAGCCCTTCCTCTTTTCGGGCACCGGCTTAGGGAGTTTGGGAGGGCTTCGTCTAGGGTTCCTTTAAAGGGATCTATAGGGATTCTGTAAGGGTTTAGGGTTTAGGGTTGGTACACTTTGAGGGGTTGGGGCGCTTACAAGATGCTTACGAGCCTGTTTAAAGAGTAGAAGACCCTTAGCTATGCCTTTAAGCCGTTTCTGGCACCCTCTCGAGTCTGCGGGCGCCAGGCTAAGCAGGCCTCCAAGCGCGTACAGGAGCTCCTGAAGCAGAACGAGGTGCAGTGGCCAGAAGCCTCCTTAAGTTTAGGGTTAGGGCTATAAGGTCTATATCCGGGCTGAGAGTTTAGGGTTTATAGGGTTTTGTGTCCATACAATACCACACCATACCACCCCCCATACCATACCATGCCATGCATGCCAAGCCAAGCCATGCCATTCCATGCCATATGAACCCAGACTCGAGCTTAGCTTAGTTTACTATGTCACGGTTTTAGACCATATTGTACCATGCCACATTAGAGCCCAGAATACAGGAGCCGGGTAGCTTAAACCCGGACCCAGAGACTCAATTTTCCCTGAAGAATATACCTTAAACCAAATCAGGAATCCTACTATAACTTAAGGTATACTCCTTACTTCCCTTATAGAACGCTTTTAGATCCTTCTAAGGAACCCTGTAAGGTATATTCCTCAATTCAGTGATATTGGAGTCTCTGGGTTAGAACCTTGCGTCTTCATTCGTCAGTTTAGGGTTTCTGGAGTTTAGGGCACTCGTGGTTTGGAGGCGTATCATGAAACAAACAAGAGACAACACGGGGGATACTCTTGCCAATTCTTCAGACCCTTTTTCGTGCCGAGCTTGATTCACATTGCCAGGGGAAGTAAGCCAAAGTCGAGCCCCCTAACCTTACGCCTAAAGCCCTGAATCGTAAACCCTCATACCCCTGAACGCCCCGAAGCCGACTCGCTGAATGCTGGATCTTAAGCTCAAGCAGACTCAAGCACATGCCAACCCCCCGCCGCGAGACGACACAGAGCTTGACAATCATAACAAATATTCGGTGTAGATTGAGTATGCCAGTATACCTATATGAGGACAATAAGGGCATCTTGTTTCTGAGTCCAGAAATCTCTATTAGCATGTTTCTCGTGGATACGTACGAGCGGGACCCCAGTCCAAAGATTCTAGATTAGGGGATCCTCTTTTCTCAGCCTCCTAGGCTTAGGAGCTTCATAAAAAACGGGTTTAAATGGGATCTCCCTATCCTCGTTTTTCTTTTGCTTTTTAATTCGGGGGCCCTATAAGCCAGAGCTTGTGCAGGACCTCCTTGCGAAGGCCAAGGACTTCAGCAAGGAGGCAGAGCTTTCGGCGACTTGGCGAGAGTACATCTCCAAGCTCTTTATGTTAAGTTTGATTGCATAGGGTTTCGGGTTCACATTTTTGGGGTTACTTTCGAGGCTTCTTGGGTGTTTCGCTTTGAGGTTTATGCAGGGCTCCCCAGGCGTAGGTACAAAGGCCATTCATTTTCAGTTGCCACAACAATCAGGAAGATGTGGTGATTGCTACAGATCCCTATCATGGAAACTTAATGTATAAGTCCCGCAATAAGAACCCAGGAAGGTGCAACTCTGTTCCTTGGTTGATGAATTCCGAACCGTTTGGTTGTCTAGGGCTCAGGGGTTGCCGTTTGACGTTCCTGTGTTAGGGCTGCAGTTTTAAGCACGCAGCCTGGAAACCCTAAACCCTAAACCCTAAAGCCTAAACCCTAAACCCCTAAACCCCTAAACCCTAGCTATGAGCGCCGCGACCCACAAGCCCAGGGCCTTGGACCTGTAGGGTTTTGGGACCCTAAACCCTACAACTCCCAAGCGGACCCTAAACCCTAAACCCTACAACTCCCAAGGGGATCCTAAACCCTAAACCCTGAAATTCCTAAGCCCTGGGGTGTAGACTCCGTGGACACCTTCAGGTGAAGGACGCAGAGGCGAGCGACAAGAAGATGGAGGAGGAGTCGGGGCCTCAGTCGAGCTCTAAGCCCTAAACCCTGAACTAGGCCCGGAATGCTGTACTAGAGGGGCTTAAATAATTACCAATAGTATCTTGGGGGGTCCTTCTTATGAAATTATAGAATCTCGGGCCGCAAAACCCTATTCTAACAATTCAGGGCAGAATATGAAACCCTAAGCCCCAAACCCTTAACCCTGAACTCTAAAAAAACTCCCAAACACTCAGCTCCTAAACCCGGCAGCCAGCAGCGGGCTGACCCGAGCCCGCCGAGCCTCCAATGACGGCCACCGAGATCAGCAGAGCGACAGTTAGGGTTTAGGGTTTAGTAGGGCTTAGGGTTTGGGGTTTAGGGTTTAGGGCTTAGGGTTTAGGGTTCAGGGTTTGGGGCTTAGGGTTTAGGGTTTAGGGCTTAGGGTTTAGGGTTTAGGGTTTAGGAGTTTAGAGTTTAGGGGTTTCTCCAGCACGAAGAAGAGCTAACCTTGGCTTCTGTGCAGCATGAAAAGGTTCCGAGGTCGTCATACTGTCTAGCCGTTTAGCTCTAGAGCCCTCGACCCCTGGACCTAAATGCAACGCCCGCTGAGATCCTGAAGTTCTAGAGCCCCGAAGATCCTGAACTCCGAAAGCCCCCCCAGATCGTGAAATCCCCAAGCCACAACAGTCCTAAAAGTCCCTCAGAACCCTAAGATCCCAAAGTACCAAGAAGAACCCAAGATCCTAAACCCTAAACCCTAAACCCGAAACCCGAAACCCTAAACCCGAAACCTTAAACCCTAAACCCGAAACCCTAAACCCTATAAACCCTAAACCCTAAACCCCTAAAGCCGCAAAAATCCTGATGACTTGCAGTCCCTAAACCCAAACCTCCGAAACCTCCCAGAGTCCCCAAAATCCTACAGTAAGCCACATCAAGTTGGACACCGGATTAAGGTTCCTTAAAAAGGATCTATAGGGTTCCTTAAAGGGGATCTATAGGGTTCCTTAAAAGGGATCTATAGGGTTCCTTAAAAGGGATCTATAGGGTTCCTTAAAGGGGATCTATAGGGTTCCTTAAAAGGGATCTACAGGGTTCCTTAAAGGGATCTATAGGGTTCCTTAAAGGGATCTATAGGGTTTAGGGTTCAGGGTCTACTTGGAGGATCATGGGACTTAGCACGTAGGGTTATAAGTACCTTAGTTGGGGTTATAAGTAGTTACAAGTATAATTACCTTAATTAACGAAGTCCCATGATTCTTTAAGTATACATCTACAGCTCCAAAAATAAAATGGGAGTTTCCGAATATTAGCGGTACCTGGACCTTACTTTGGGGTCCTTATAGTACGGATCCTACCATTTAGGGTACTATATTAGGGTTCCCCATTTTCGGAAACTCCCAAATCTCAAATTCCGAAAGTCCAAAAATTCTACAGGTCCAAAAAACCCAAATTCCTAAAGCGACAAAATCATAAAGTGCTCAATCTCAATCAAAAATCACAAAAGCGACGGCCCCACGAATCTCAAAATCTTACAGCCCTGAAATTCGAAACTCTTTCTCTGACCAGCAACTCCGACATGCTCAAGCACCAAAAATTCGCCCAAGAAGTCGTACGGTACCCAAAATCAACCGATAATCCTAGAACTCTAAACCCTAAGCCGAAAATCCCAGAACCCTAATTGGGTGGTTGTCAAAATCAGGGTTCCTTCTTGGGTCCTTCATACAATAGGGCACCTAATATTTAGTGTAGCCAAAAAGGGACCCTATTAATTTTGACAACCACCCTCAAACCCTCAACCCTAAACCCTAAACCCTAAAACCCTAAACCCCTAAACCCCAAACCCTAAACCGAAAATCCCAGAACCCTAATTACAGCCTGGTGAGGTTGGCCAAGGCGAAGGAGTACGCCAAGGTCGCAGAGCTGGGAGCCAAGGACTCCACCGTGGCTTCAGGGGCATTTGCTTGAGGCTTCTGTGGGATTACAGTAGACTGCCCAGAGTTTAGGGTTTAGGGTTCAGGGTTTTTAGGGCTTAGGGTTTAGAGCATTAGGGGTTTAGAGCTTTACAGTAGAAGCCAGAAAGTTGGAGCTTTAGTATCCTCATGCCCTTAAAGTAAAGGATAAGGGATCCTAGCACTAATCCTCCTAAACTCATGTTCCAACTTTCTGGCTTCTACTGTATATATTGGGGGTTAGGACACAAGGGTTTGGGGTTTGCGGAAACTTTGGGGTTCGGGGTTTTGGAGCTCTCCGGGCTCAAGCTGTTTGGAGTTCAGGCTGTTGGAGTTCGCTGTCCCTTTTGGTGTCCCTTTTGGCTATGAGAGAGATGGATTCTTTTCGTGGTTCCTAGAAGAACATTTGATTTAGACCGCTCCCCCTAGTCGCGCGTGGCTGTGTTGGTAGCGTTAAACCTGATGCCGGGTTCTGCGGGGTCTCCTCTCGCCGGGCAAGCCCCGGTTGACCCGGGGGTTTCGTATCGAACCCCGTCTTATGCCCTAAACCCCAAATTTGGGTAATTAGTTGCCAAAATTAGGGCCTCGTTTTGGGTGCCCTAAACCTAATATTGACAACCACTCAAATCCCAACCTTACACCCTAAACCCCAAGCTCAAAAAGGCCGGGTTAAGGTGACTGTAGGTTTGGGGTTTGGAGTTGCACTCAAACCCCGACGCAGAAACCCTTAAAGGAGTCGCTATATCAATCTTACCCGTTGGGGCCGCAAGTCATCAGATTTTGCATCGGGTTTAGGGCTTAGGGTTTAGGGTTGAGGGTTTAGGGTTTAGGGCTTAGGCTTGTTTAGGGTTTGCAATACAATAACAGGTATTGCTTGGGGTGAAGGATTTATCGTCGGTGGGCTGAGACCTTCAAGGTTCAGGTGGAGGCTGTGTGAGTGTCTAGATGGAAGGAGCTGGCCAAGAAGGCTGTGGACGATCTGTTCATGGGCAAGTATCGCGAGTTGGATGGCTGGCGCAAGGAGGCTGGCATACCCAAAGACTCCAATATCCCTTAATTAGGGAATATACTATACGTTAAAATTAAGTAGGGTCCTTAATGATTATGATTTAAGGAATATATCCTTAATTAAGGGATGTTGGAGTCTCAGTCTCTGGGTACCGTCATAAACTTTTAGACATCCTTAGCACTTTGAGCCACTCTTTCCCAAAGCCCTTACACCCAAGAACTGAACCTTATATTTCCCATCCCTGAACTCTGCTTGGACGGGAATGTTACGAAATACTACCTCGTTACAGGCCCAGCCCGTATATAATTTACTACATATGCAGTGCGTTGCTGGTATGTCACCAAAGCAGACTTCTTGAGACGTGTAGGGTTAAGTGGTTCGGCTCACAGGTTCAGGGGTCCAGTGTTCACCGGTTTGGGGCATGGGGTTTTGAGGATTCAGGGTTTAGGGCGCAGGGATGTTGGTTTCGTGTCAAGGGATAAAATTGATGCCGCACCGCGTCTGAGATGACTGGAAAGTAAAGTCCAGACTCATGATTTGAGTAGCTCCAAAACCCTAAGCTCTTAAACCCTTAGGCCCTAAACGCTGAACTATAGTCAAACATAGTCAAACTCTAAACCGTTGCAAGATGCCCTTGATGATCTTGAGTGTGATCCAGCTTGAGAGTCCCTGAGGCACGCACACTTTAACCTCTTCGTAGAGATACCTTTCTCTGTATTGCTGTAGTACTTTATCCTGAACCCTAAACCCTATTTTTGCCGGCTTGTATACTCGTATTATTCCTGAGCGTCTTTATAGTTTTACAGTTCTATTCCGGCTGTTAACTTATACACGGATCTTGAAACCCCAGCGCTCTTGCCATAGAACCCTTAAGCTAAAGTTCCAAGGAATCCTTAAGGGAGTCCTTCAAATGTACCGGGGCCTTACTAATTCGAATAGGGTCTTGGGCCCATTATACTATATGCACAATAAGGAACCCCCAAAATGGTATTGGTAATTATTCAGGGCCCTATATTACGTATTCTGTTCGCGATTCGCAGCAGCTTTCAGCCTGACGCAAAGTCAAAGTCCAGATCTCTCCGCTCTTTCCCTCCACTCCTAGCCATGCGTGAGCTCGTGCACGTTCAGGGAGGACAGTCCCACGGCCAAAACAGCCCTTCCTTATATCGAGATTTGAATAAGTAATGAGTAAACCCCAAACCCTAAACCGTGCTGAGTAGCTCCTTATAGTCCCTACACAACGGCCCCAGGCGTCAAGGGAGCCCCGAGTCAATGGGGTCTGAATAATTCACGATCTAGGATGCCCAGTAGTATTTAGGGTTTAGGGTTTATAAAGTTGCCCAATACCAAGAAGGGAGCCCGTTTGATTCCCCGGTTTCTGGGCATCCTAGCAATCGTTGCCCCTTGTTTCCCTGTATAGCAGCCAGACACAGAATGAGAAAACAGCCTCCGAACCCTGAACCCCTAAGTCCTCCAACGGGCTCCACCCCGAGAGTTGTTGCTTCAGGCGTGAGGGTCGGAGGTTTAGGGGCTTCAGGGATCGTTTACTTGAAGTGGGGGTAGGATGTGGGAGTGGTGGGTTAAGGGTTCAAGTTCGGGGTTCCTTTTAAGTAAGTGTCATCTGTGTTAAAAGGTACTCATACATACGTATATATATATATATATCTCTCTCTCTCTCTCTCTCCCTGTCTCTCTCTCTCTCTGCGACTCTGCTTCTCTCTCTGTTTCCTATTCCCCGCTTTGATTTGTTCTCCGTATTCCTATGCATACCAGGTGGCCATACTTGCTAAGTGCAAAAACTCCTATCGTCTGAACCAGCAGGTTGGTCTTCAGGATTTAGGGTTTAGGGTGTAAGGTTGAAGTTTTAGGGTTTAATTTAGGGTTGAAGGTCTAAGGTTTAGAGTTTAGGGTTTAGGGTTAGAGTTTTGGGTTGCCGGCTTCAGGGCTTTGGGGATTCAGGGTGTTTAGGGTTTAGAGCTTCATGGCTTTAGGGCTTCAGGGTGTTGCGAAACTCTGGGGCTTGAGAGCCAGGGCTCTATCGGGCTCGGCACAAAAACTCCAGAATTTTAGGGATGTATGGTGCAGTGTAGTGTTGAGGCGTTTTGGACGCAGGGTTCAGGGTGTAGGGACGAGCACAGTGCTAGCAGCCAGCAACAGAAACTTCGGCACTTAGAGTACGCAGTCAGTCGATGCTATAACTTAGAAGAGGCCCCGACCCTGTAATGGTGGTATAATCGGAATATAGTAGGGCCCCTAATATAATCCTTATAGTTATATCAGGGTGGGGGCCCCTTCTAAGCTATACTCGGCAATTGCATCTTCAACATTCCCGACAACATCAGCATAGCATCGTGACGGTTGTAAGATAAAAGGAACAAGAGTTTCGGGCTAGTAGTGCTCACCCCATGTTTTCAATAGCAAATAGACTTGTACTGCTGGTCATGCTGGCAATACTGTTCACAGTATACAGTATCAACGAGGAGTACAACAGTTCCTTACCAGCGCAGCATCGTGGCAATTATTGCTATAGCAACCATGAGCAGTGAATAGTTACTAAGTACTGAAAAATAATCAGCAAATGTGCCGGCACTCCTAAACCCTTAACGCTCAATGCGTGAAACCCTTTTTCCAACCCATAACCCATCAAAACAATAAGCACGCAAACCATAGATTCGCCCAGCCAGCTGCAGTGAAAGTTGCTCAGATGCCTAGGTGCGGCAACCAGATCGGCGCCAAGTTCTGGGAGGTCATCGCTGACGAGCACGGCATCGACCCAACCGGAACGTGCCTTGGGTTTCTATTCTTAGTAGCTGAGTGGATACACTTTACACTTTTTGGATAATCTTACCTACTATAAAACTGAAAGTGTACACTTTTTGGGGCTTATGAACTCAGCAACTACGTATTTCGAGCTTAGGGTCGAGAGCAGAGGCTCTAGGGCTTGGGATGGAGCGCTTCGGCTACTCACGAGTGATCTGGGTGGACAGCAGGACATGCTGCGGGGGGATACCGCAAAAACACAGTCATGCTTATGGGAGCACATTTTGGGCGGGCAAACTCCAGTTCCCTCAGGTACCATGCAGAACAGCCCCAGTCGAGAAAAAATCCATGTTCCGTGAGGGAGTTTATCATTAAGGGAGCAGGAGACAGCGGTGTTGCTTGAGAGCGCAAGTTCGACCATCTTGGCGTGAAAGGGAAGCTGCTACGACAGCTATGACAAACTATTGCTGCCAATACTAGTGCCATTACAATAACTCCTACTTGCATTGCTGCTCTTCCTGGGCGTCCTCCTCCCGGTCCTCCTGCTCCTGCTGCTGCTGCTGCTGTTGTTGCTGCCGCTACTACTCCTTCAGTGCTGCTGCTGCTGCTACTGCTACTGCTACTACTCCTCTTCCTTTCACCTACTGTCACCTGCTCGGATTGCCGCTACCATCAGCACCAGTACTATTCATTTACCGGTCGGTACTCTGATGATGCTTAAGGTTGCGACCAGTACAATCGATACTTATGAGTTTGCTTGCTGACTGCGAGGGCTGATTCTGCTTGTGATTTATGTCCTTTTGCGTACCAGCAATGATTTTGCAACCACGCTACATTCCAAAATCCCATACATCAAGCGTCTGAATCAAAAACCCCAACAATCCTAAAGCTTTCACAACCTTCAAGCCGAAACACCAAACCCTAAACCCCTAGATGCTAAACCCCAAACCCTAAACTCTCAGCCTTGGGATTTTCCTCGGCATTTTTAGCTGTTAGCTGTAGCAAAGCGGGGCGTGCTGATTTAGTGTATGCCCTTGTCTGGGTAGGCGCGCTTTGGAGAAAGGAGCGTCATTCCTCTCAAAAAAATTCAAGGCTAACCCCGAAACCCTCCCTAAACCCTAAACCCTAAACCCTCCAGACCCCCAAGCCTTCAGTTTCCGCGTGGCCCAGGTACCATGGAGATTCGGACCTCCAGCTCGAGCGCCGCTAGTTCGGAGCTTTAGGTTTACGGGCTTAGGGGTTTAGTAATTTAAAGGTTTAGGGGTTTAGTAATTTGAGGGTTTAGAGGTTTAGTAATTTAGGAATTAAGGTATGACTCTTTCGTACTTTTCGAAGTCCGCAAACCCTATTGCAGCTATCAAGGCCCTTGCCTTGTTCTCGGCCTCGGCAGCATAGCCCTGGAATGCGGTCGGAGGGTGTGTGTAATGGTTGAGACTTGCGGCTGCCGGGTTGTAGGATTTCCTCGTTCTTCCTTGGATATTTGATTGATTAGAAGGTATTCCTATCCTACTGTAACCTGTAATCTTTTTGTCCCCTTTGCGATGTTAGTTTAGGCTGGGCTGTCTGAAGTTTAGGGCTTGAGGTTTAATGTTGAGAGTCTGGGATGTGGGGTTTGCACTGTTTTGATGTGTTTTCATGTTTAGGTTGTGCAGGGTTAACGTGTTGAGAAATGTGGCTTGAGCCAACAGCCCAGGCATCAACGTCTACTTCAATGAGGCCAGCCGCTCTTGCCATTAACCCTCTACGGAGCTAGGTTGCGTGCATTTCACCCACACACGCCTAGTTAATGAGGCGACGGGTGGACGCTATGTGCCGCGTGCCATACTGATGGATTTGGAGCCAGGCGGGGCTTGATCCAACCGAACTTAAACCCTAAGTCCTAAACCCTAAACCCTAAGTCCTGAACCCTAAACCCTAGTCCTAAACCCTAAGTCCTAGGCCAAAAGCTCTGACTGCACTGACCTAACGGGGAGCAGATGTTCGGATGGTTTTTTGTTGCAGGGAGGACGGTTTTGGGTTAAGGTTTTTGCTAACCATTGATATTGGAAGAGCTAAGGAGCCAGGGATGATGATAATCCCTATGAAATAAGGAGCTAAAGAGCCAAGGGAACCCCACAACCATTGGTTAGGTTGGGTTTGGGCTTAAGGGTCTTTCGGTTTAGGGTCTGGGTCTTGGTGTTTTAGGGTTTTGGGTTTGGGCTTAAGGGTCTTTCGGTTTACTGTCCGGGTCTTGGTGTTTAGGGTTCCGTGGTTCGGGACTTCGTCAGGCGCAGGGAAATTCCGGATTAAGGTGAAAAAGTGTTTCTCCTCATCATCGACTTTGCATACTGATCATAAATCCCACAGAACTGCTGAAGACATTGTTCTGAAGTTCGGAAGATGAGCTTTACAGACAAGAGGGAGCGGGTATGGCGGGCAAGCATCCGGACCGTGCCGGATCAACAGCAGCATCTCATCTTCCGACCTTCACCCTACACCCTGAACCGCTATATCGTAGACTCCTGGGCCTTACACCCTTCACCTAATTAGGACCCTCAATCTCGGGTCCTGAGCAAGAATCCCCATACTCCCCCTAAGCCATAGACCCTCATCCCTAATCCGATACCAAGATCCTGAAGACTCAATGTATCTTTGGGTTCCCCTACAAGCCGCCCCAAACACAAGCCATGATGTTAGATCATTTCAACTTGGTTCCTGGAATATGCGAGGAAACAACGCCCCTGAAAAGCACTGTTCAAAGAAGCCATAGGCCATCAAGTAATTCCAGTAGCCATCCAAACTGAAGGCACGTTTTCTTGCCATTTCGTCACCGATGATTATGTGAAATCTTCTGCAAGACGATGATATAGGACGATGATATAGCTATGTAGTACAGCAAAGAATATTTCAAAGACACGGTTCGCAAAATCTAGGCTCCTGGGAGTGAACCCCCCGCAGGAACGATGTACAGTGTTTGCGTCGGCCCAAACCCTACCCCAAACCATAGACCGCAAATCCCGAACCCTAAACCCCATACGGGCCTATTTCCTAGAAGCCCTAGAAACCCCAAACCCTAAACCCTGGAAGGCCTAGAAGCCAAGAAAGCCCAAACCCTCCTGCAGGAACTATGGACAGTGTCCGAGCCGGCCCCTTTGGTCAGTTGTTCCGCCCGGACAACTTCGTGTTTGGCCAGACGGGCGCTGGAAATAACTGGGCCAAGGAAGGAGTTGGGCAAAGGGTTTCGGGATTTTGGGTTTAGGGACTTAGGGATGTTAGTATTTCGGAATCATGGTTTAGGCCTTAGGTTGTAGGGTTTCAGAGATTGGGGCAGAGGGATGTTAAATCAAACCCTGAGTTTCCCTTCCCCTCCAAGATGAAAAAAAGAAGGATAGAACATGACTTTTGAATTATATCTTCTCGTATAACAAATTGCATAATAATTCCAATAACAACAACAGTAATAGTCATGATACTATTGCTAGCAGTAGCAGTAGTAGCAGTAGTAGTAGTAGTAGCAGTAGTAGTAGCAGTAGTAGCAGTAGTAACCATCGTTTTTGTACCTGAACTCCCAAACCAGGGCCACTACACGGAGGGCGCTGAGTTAATCGACTCGGTGCTCGACGTCGTGCGCAAGGACGCTGATGGCACTCAAGGTTTTGGAGTTTGGGTTTACGAGTTTGGGGCTACTTTCAGGGTTTAGGAGTTTAGGGTTAAGTTCAGGGTTCAAGAGTTTGGGTTTGGGAGGGAGTTTCATCTGAGAGTTTAGGGTGTTGGGTTTAGGAGTTTCGGGTTTAGTTTAGGAGTTTTTTGTTTGGGGTTTAGGAGTTTAGGGTTTAGTTTACGAACTTGGGCTCAGGAGTTTAGGGCTTTAGGGTCGGTCTTGGGTTTAGGATCTTAGAGCTTGATGTTTAGAGTTTGCTTGTGGGGACTGGGGTGGGGCTTCATGTTTGTGAGTCTGGGGTTTGGAGCTTTCGACATGGCAGGATGACATTGACGATTTATGGTTGTGTGTGTTGTTTGAATCTGCAGATGTGCAGAGCTTGGAGTACAAAGCCATGTGCAGCAAGTGAAGATGCAATTGGTGATGGTGATAAGGAGGATGTAGATTGAAGCTGATGGTTTAGAAGCTGCCCCCACCCTGTAATAGCGGTATAATAGGAATATATTAGGAATATAATAGGGCCCTAATATAATCCTTATAGTCACTATTACAGGGTGGGGGCAGCTTCTAACTGATGATGCTTTGATAATAGAGGTGCTAGGAAAGGCATGTCGCTTCGCGATGAGGCGCCACTGGCAACTGGGAGTTTCCGAAAATAAGGGGTGCCGCATTTTGGGGTCCTTATAATAAGGATCCTACTATTTAGGGTACTATATTAGGGTCCCCCTATTTTCAGAAACTCCCAACTTGTCGTTCAACGCACAAGTCATAAGGAGATAGTGCGCACTTCACAGGTAAGTACGTCAAGAGCTAGGTGGAGTGGAAGAACCCTTGTAGTACCCTTCAAAGAACCCTTGTAGTACTGCAAAGGAACCCTTATAGCACCCTTAAAGCCCTAAATCCTAAGCCCTACAGAACGAAGATACTACAGGGGCCTTAATAATTACCTATACTATGTTGGGGGTTCCGTATTATAATGATACTATTCTTATTATTAACGCCCCTACGTTAAACCTAAACCCCTGACCCCCTCCAAGCCCCTAATTCAGCAACTGCAGACCCCAAGCCCTAAACCCTTAATGGTCTTGGAGTCAGCCGACTGTCTGGCGGACATCAAAAAGGAGCTTTAAAAAAAAAACCTTAATGCAACAGTCGTGGCGAGGAGGCAGAGGGGTGCGATTGCCTCCAGGGTTTCCAGCTGTGCCACTCCCTGGGAGGCAGGTAGTGCTCTGTTCGTGTAAATCAAGGCTTAGGGGTTACCTGCAGCGGAAAAGACTTTTTTTTTCAGGACCTATATAATATGGAGACCATAATAAGGAACCCCAAAAAGGTAGGTCTTTTCGCTACAGGTAGGTGTCACGGGTTCAGAGTTTAAGGTTTTGGGTTTAGGGTTCAAGATAGCAGACAGAATACGGGGCTCGTGATCCGGGATTTCGACCCGGTCTCGGTTTGAAGCTGTTCAAGTTTTGTGCTTCTGTGTGCGTCTTGCCATGCAAGCTGAACCCTAAAACCCCGAACCCCTAATCCCTGAAACCCTAAACCCTTGAATGACGACATGGCAATCAGGGGGACCTTCAAATTCCGCAGTTAACACCCAGCTTAATTAGACCGACAGTGGGTATCCAGAGTGCCCAATACCCCTTAATTAGGGAATATAGCTTAAATCAGAATACTAACCCCCTTATAATTTAAGGTATATTCCTTAATTCAGGGGTATTGGGCTCTCTGGGTATCCCACAGCAGCCCTTAGCTCTTCAGACGTAAACCAAGGGGGTTTAGGGTTTAGGGTTTAGGGATCGATTGAAACACAGCCATAAACCCCGAACCAAGTCCATCTGGATGCTGTCGAACTTCAGACCCGACAAAGCTCTCTGTAGTCGCATGGCGTCCATACGACCGAAGCCTGCACCGTACAGCCTGCAACATGCCCAAAGCCCCACGCGCCCAATCCCAAAGCCTTTAAACCCAAATTCATACAAGTGATTCTACTACCCAACCATCGAAGCAGTGAGCACATGCATGAAGGATCCATGAAGCAGACAGCAACAGCAACAACAACAACAACAGCACGAATAGCAATAACAAGAGCAGCAGCAACAACGACAACAACAGCAACAGCAACAACAACAGCAATAACATTGCCTATCCAGACCACATGAAAGTTTGAGCCCTTTGAAAAGCCAGGGGGCACCTAAACCCTATAAGTCCTAAGCTTTGAAACCTCGACCCTAAAGCCTAGACCCTAAACCCCAAACTCTCAACCCTTCTTAACCGAACCCTAAGCGCCCTAAGCCCCAAACTCTCAACCCTTCTTAATCGAACCCTAAGCGCCCCAAACCCTCAAAAGCCAGGTGGTACCGGTGCTGGCATGGGAACGCTTCTCATCTCGAAGGTTCGCGAGGATCCGACCACTTCGGGGGTTTGGGGGTGCAGGGTTTCGGGTTTAGAGATCAGGGTTTCGGGGTTAGGGTTTAAGATTTAGTTTATGATATTACAGAGCTTAGGCTTCAGAGTTTAGGGTTTAGGGTTTAGGGCCAGGGATTAGGGATCAGGGTTTTGGGTTCAGGGTTAAGGATTTCAGGTTTAGGATTCAAGGGCCCTCCAAGGTTCGGGGACTTAGTAAGTGGCGTTGCCAGTAAGGTATCTACCAGCTGTGGGAAGTACTTTCAAGTAAAGCACTTACAACTTACAACGCTAGCTTGTAGCTCCCCTGAAAGCCCTTACGACTCTTGCTCGGATACTGGGTCATGCCTGTCTTTGTGACTATCCAATAGTGGGCAGGTTGTAAATTGAGATCCATGAACCGCTCTGCCTACATGCATTATGCTTGCTCCCAGCTGCAGTTCGGTGCAAAGTGTAAGCAGGGATGCAGTGGTTCGCTGTGCTTTTCCCTTTTCAGGGTCATAGCAAATCCATGAGCGAACCCGTGCACTGCAGGAGTATCCTGACCGCATCATGGAGACATTCTCGGTGATCCCGTCTCCGAAAGTGTCCGACACTGTGGTTGAGCCATACAATGCCGTCTTGAGCTTCCACCAGCTGGTCGAGAACTCCGACGAGTCGTTCCTGCTCGACAACGAAGCTCTGTACGACATCTGTTTCCGTTCCTGGGCCACCAGTGTATCAAGTTGTGTATGCGTGTGCATGTGTGTCTGTGCTGTTCATCTGCGACCCTAAACTCCCTAAACCCCAAACCCTAAATCCTAAACCCTTAACCCTAAACCGCGACCATATGCTACGGAGGCACGCTGAAGCTTACTACACCGACATACGGAGACCTGAACCACCTGGTCTCTGCGGCGATGAGTCTTGGCTCCTGTTAAGGGTTTAGGGTTTAGGGTCTTTAGGGTTCAGTTGCCACAATAAAGAAACCCCATTATTTACAGATCCCTATTCTTAACCGAAATTGCAAAATGAAGCTGGGCTCTTGTTAAGGAAGTTCCTTCAAGTTGCCACAATAAAGAAACCCCATTATTTACTATAGATCCCCATTCGAAGTTGCAAAGTGAAGCTGGGTTCTTGTTAAGGAAATTCCTTTAAATTGCCACAATAAGGCAACCCTACTATGTAGATCCCCATTAGGTAACCGAAATTAAGGTTACCACCATGGGAAAACCCTCTTATTTGCTTCAGATCCCTATTCTTAACTGAAACGAAAAATCCTCAGCAAGAACCCAGGAGTGGTGTGACTTGCTGCTTGCGCTTCCCCGGGCAGCTCAACTGTGACTTGCGCAAGATCGCAGTGAACTTGGTGCCCCGGCTTCCGTTTGTCCCCAAAACGGAACCCCGAAACCCTTCGTGTTCGACACTACGGTCTAGTTTTTTTCTTTAGGCCGGCTTAAGGTTTAGGGTTCAGGGAGACCTCCAGGTCATGTGCACTGGAATGCAAGACAGATGCTGAAGCCGAATTTCGCACTTAACTTGACCCTAAAATCCCCTTCACCCCAAACTCCAAGCCACTTAAACCTCCAGGTTTACAGGTCTAAACCCAAGACTTTCAGCCAAAAGCCTTCAGGTCCCCTTCCCCCGGCTGCACTTCTTCATGACCGGCTTTGCGCCGCTGACCTCTCGCGGCTCCCAGCAGTACCGGGCGTTGACCGTCCCGGAGTTGACCCAGCAGATGTTGCCTGGATGTCGTTCAATATAGGGGCCTTCCTGATTCCCTATACTGTTGTGGGGGGTTCCTTACTATACTAATAGTATTCATTTAGGGTTTAGGGCCTAAAGTTTGTCAGTTTATAAGGGGTTCCTTTAAGGGATCTAGATGGGTTCTATTAAAAGGGGTTCTTAGTTCATGGCATTTAGACTGTCTGGTTCTTAGTACGGAATTAAGGAATGGATTATGGAGACCATTATTGGGGATTGCATTGGGACTACTATAGGGATCCATCCCCCCAATCCCTACTAAGCACCAAACAGTCGTTTAGAGTTTAGGGTCGATTGGGGTTGAGGGTTCGGGGCTTTGGGATTAGGGTTGAGGGTTTTTTGGGTATAGGGGTGTAGGGTCGATCGAACTTTAGGGTTCAGGGGCCTGGAGTTTAGGGTTTATAGGGATTAGGGTTTAGGGTTGATAGGGTTTAGGGGTTCAGGGTTTAGGGGCTTAGAGTTGAGGGTTTTTAGGGTTTAGGGCTTTAGGAGCTTAGGCTTAGAGTTTAGGGTTTATAGGGTTTAGGGTTTAGGTGTTCAGGATTCAAGGTTTTAAGGTTCAGGGTTCGGCAGATGTGGCCCGCAGAGCACATTATAGGATCCTTAAGGGAGGGTGGTTCAGGGGGGGAGGGTATAATGAATCCTTAGGGGACTGTAAGGGAACCTTAGGGAGTACTAGGGAGGATGGATCACTAGGCTATATACCCCCCTTGGACCCCCCTCCCTTAAGGATACTACAAGCACAAGTTCAATTGTTCTGTTTTGGAGGGCTTTGGGCTCAGGTTCGTGGGAAAAACCTTTATAGGATCCTCAAAAAGGGTCCCATTAGGGTTATACGGTTCCTTTAAAGGGGGTCTATACGGGATCGATAGTAGGGTTCTATAATATTGGGGCTTTCATAAGTAGAATAGGTTTTTGGGTACCGTAAACAATTCCCGAATTTTCTTGAAGCAACACAGCCCACCCCAAAGCATCAGTCTTATCGCTCAGGCCACCTCATGAGATGTTGAGTGCTTCCACCTAGAGGTGTCCAGTCCTCCAAAACGCCGTGGCATCAGACCGGAAGTGTTGGGAGGGTGTAGGTTTTCCAGGGGTTGGGGCCTGGTGTTGAGGATTCGGGTTTCGGGCCCTACGCCCTTAACCCAAGGGTTGTGCCTGAGCTCCAAAGTGTGGATCATGGAGTGCGGAGTTCAGACTTCGCAAGAGTATTGCTCTTTTGTATTCTGTGGTCTTGAAAGCTTGAAGTTGATGACCCTAAACCCTAACCCTTAATCCCTATGACGTTAGGCTTCAGAACAGGCTTCAGAGGTCCAGCTTGGCCCAGGTTCGATGCCAAGAACATGATGTGCGCCGCAGATCCCCGTCACGGGCGATACCTCACCGCCGCCGCGCTCTTCCGTGGCCGCATGTCCACGAAGGAGGTGGATGAACCTTGGCTTTTCAGCAGTAACTCTGTTGTCCTTGTGTTGTTATAGGGTTTGGGGTTTAAGGTTTAGGGAAAGTTTGGCTACTGGGAGCCTAGGAACAGATGCTCAACGTCCAGAACAAGAACTCATCCTACTTCGTGGAGTCTTGGCTGCGAGTGTGCTTTTTGCCCAGAGCCGAAGTCAAAGCCGTAAACCCTCTAAGTTGCAAGCTCTAAATACCCTGAGCCGTGAACTCGAAACCCGAAATCCCACCCCCTAATGCTAAGGCTTCCTCAAACCCTAAACCTAAACCCTAAACCCTAAACCCTAAACCCCTAAACCCTAAACCCTAAACCCTAAACCCCTAAACCCTAAACCCTAAACCCTAAACCCTAAACCCCTAAACCCTAAACCCCAAACCAAACTTAACTCTGCTGCCAAATTTTTAGATGGGAGCTTCTGAGCCGTGGTCCCAGGGGGCCACAAGTCCCCCCCCCCCCCCCCAAAGCATTAAACCCTAAAAACACGGTTTAGGGTTTAGGGTTTAGGGGTTTAGGGTTTAGAGTTTAGGGTTTAGGGTTTAGGGTTTAGGGTGGGATGCCCAGTAGTACCCTTATTCCCTTTTGTAGTCCTAGGTTCTTTATAAAGTTACCCAATACCTAAAAGGGAGCCCTTTCTATTCCTAGGTTACTGGGCATCCTAGAACCTGTTAAAGCCACCCAGGAGTGGATTCCGAACAACATCAAGGCGTCCGTTTGCGACATCCCGCCCAAGGCCGGCCAAAGAAGCCCAACCCCTATATACTTGATGGCTCTCTGTGGATGTTGTTCGGACTGGAATTACGAGAGGTTCGGTTTTTGGCGTTGAAGATTCTTTCATAGGGCCATAGACTAATGCTTGCTTGCTTTTGTTCTCGAGGTTTACCTCCTGGAGAAGAGGTTTTCTAACCGGGTTCCTAACGTGTGGTGGTCTTCGATCTTCAACGCTGAACAACTTGGGTGAGGGCCCTGGTTGTGGGAGGTCAGGGTCAGGAGTTAAGCGCCAATTCGCCATAGGTTTAGGGCTAGGGTTTAGGGTTTAGGCAAACCTGCAATCCGAACCGTATTAAACCCTTTGCAACCCAGTTAAGCCGAATAGAGCGCTAAGAAATCCCTCATAAACCCAGAAAGCTCAAAAAGACCCTAAACCCTAAACCCTAAACCGTAAACCCTAAACCCTAAACCCTAAACCCCATAAACCCTAAACCACCCCAAGCCCTTAGAGCCCCAAACTCCCCAGAGACTCCAACATCCCTTAATTAAGGAATGTACCTTGGGTCATATCAGGGACCCTACTAGATATCTAAGGTATATTCCTTAATTAAGGGATATTGGAGTCTCTGGGTTTACGACGACCTTCAACAGATTCACAGGAAGCCCAGGATGAACTGAAAACAGATGTCGCGCCTTTGCCAGGGCCTGAAGATGGCTGTGGCCTTCGCCGGAAACTCCACAGCCATCCAGGAGATGTCCCCTTGGCCTTTACTTGATGTGTTGTACTTATTTGCTCTTTGTGTGAAGCTGCCACACCTGCCTTTTTTGTCTATGTTTTCGTTGTTTCTTACGTGTCTTTGGGTTTATACAGGGTTTTGTGTTTAGTTTAAGCTTGCAGCTAGAGGGTCAAAAAACTGTACTTTAGGTTTAGTTTCTGTGTTTTCAAGCATAAATGTACTTTAGGTTTAGTTCTGTGTTTTCAAGCATATTCTAATGGTCGTACAAGGATCGTGATAAGGGTTTGAAAAAGAGGCTTGTTTAGGCTTGTGGCTGTGGGTTTGACAGCATGCTTTTAGGTTTCTGTGTGCTTTAGCGTGCTTTACAAGGGTCGGGTTAGGCTTTGATTTGATGTTTCGAGGCTTTCGGGTACAGGGCTTCGGGTTGAGGGTTCTTACCTTTTTGGGTCCCTAAACCCTAAACCCTAAACCCTAAACGTGCGCAGTGGGTTCCGTACATGTTGGTGGGTCTAGAGCAAGCGATTCGGGGCTCCAGGACATTAGAGCTTTTGAGCTGGGGCTCGGGTTTTCGGGCTCTGATGTAGGAGCCTTGATAATGTTTAACAGGGTTTTGGGGGTTGCCTTATTACGATTGTTATAGCATACTATACCCCCAAGCCCTATTTTAAGTATTAAGGGACCCACATGACATTCCAGCTGTTTCCTGCGGGTTATGAACTTGATTGTTGAAGTGCACATGGAGCAGGGTTCCTGGTCCATGGCTTGAGCCTGATTCTAGGCAAAACCTGGCTACAGCACCATAATCGCTAAACCCTCCACCCTAAGCCCATACTTGGAGGGACGGGGGACTTAGTAAGTAGGTAGTAAGTAGACTTATAAGTAACCTAAAAGGGACCCTTACTGGGGTTATGGTACAACCAGTTACTAAGTCCCCCGACCCTCCAAGTAGGCTCGGAAAGCCCCAGTCTCCCCCAGCCCCACTACTTGGAGGGTCGGGGACTTAGTAACTGGTTATTTTAGGGACTTATAAGTACCGTAGCCCCAATTCGGGTCCAATTTAGGGCACTTATAAGTCTACTTACTACCTACTTACTAAGTCCCCGGACCCTCCAGGAAGCTTCTATCTTCAGGCAGAGCTGGGGATGCGTGTCCCTTTTTCACTCCGACGGTTGATCGCCGAGAGTTTAGGGGTTGTAGGGTTCAGGGTAGGGGAATTCACTCGGCTGGTAATGATGACGATGGTGTGAATGTTTGCAGTGTTGATGGTCCTTGTCATGGTCAAGGTGCTGATCACGGAGATGATGAAGGAGATTTTCGTTGCAAAATCACGCCAGCCATCATTGTCGTGTTGCTGCTACTATTTCGTGATCATATTGCCGGCCATGGTCGTAACACGCGGTACTGTACAGAGTAGTCATATGGAGTTAGGAACCTTCAGATAGGAGATGCCAGTTGACATTCGGATATGTTAGGCACCTTTCAATCGCAAGCCCCCCCCACCCAAACGCCACTGAAGGTTCAAGCGCGTGGCGGAGTACTTCACCGCCATGTTCCGACGCAAGGCCTTCTTGCACTGGTACACCGGCGAAGGCCATGTGGGAACTAGAAACGCCTGAGGGTCAATGACATAAACCCAAAACCCTGAAAAGCCTAAGCCTTAAAGCCTAAACTTTCAAGCCTAAACTAGGAACCCTAAGCCTTAGACCCTGAACTCAGACACTAAACCCTAAAACTCCAAAACCCCTAACCCTAAACCCTAAACTAGAACCCCTACAGGCATGGATGAGATGGAGTTCACGGAGGCGGAGTCGAACATGAACGACTTGGTCTCCGAGTACCAGCAGTACCAAGATGCAACGGCAGAGGAAGAGGGAGAGTTCGACGAGGAGGAAGGTGACCTAGATGGCATTTAGGGTTTAGGGTTTAAGGGAAAAGTCATAATTTCCGTTATGATTCCTGTAGAGGTGCTGGTGCCTACTTATACTTTGGGGGGCCCAAAACTACAACCCAGTGACTTCGTAGCTCTAGCACTCGATGAAGTAAACGTAAGCCCTGCTGGGATAGCAAAATGACCCAAAAGCTTGGATCACTTAGAAATCTCGTCAAGCAAGGTGAGTATGACGGCTGAGCTCGCAGTGCCAATTCGAGGGCGAAGGCCTTGCGAACACCTTGAGACCAGTTGTTGCGAGCCTCTGAGGCTTGCACGGAACTGGGGGATCCTTCGAACTGTCAGCGAGAGAAAAAAGGCCTGTGCTTCGACATGGCTGCCACTCTCCCAGTCTACCGCTGTCGTAGGTTTGTTAAGGTTCTTGTTGGCATTCCAGATGCGAGGTTGTTGTCGTCATGTTGCGAGCCTGTTGGTCCTATTGTTGCCATATTGGTAGCTCAGATGCTCGACCGCAGCCCCTACTCGCTGCCTGCGCAAGTGGGACTAAATTCTAAACTCTAAGCCGACGGCGAGAGGCAACAATGATAGCATCTCGTGCTTAGACAGGAAGGGTACTGTCCATGCCGAAGCTGCTTGGGATCCCCGGAAGTAGGGGTTAGGGTTTAGGGTTTCGAATCGCGAAAATAGCTTTGACGAAAGCCCTAAACCCGAGTCCCTGGCGGTGGGAGATTGGTCCTTCATAGGGACCCTTAGGGGGTTAGGGGGGAGGGGCCCTATATTTCCTTAAACAATAAGCCTTACTCGGTCCTTATAATGGGCATTAAGGCCCCCTACCCCCCTCCCTTCACCCCCCTAAGGGTCCCTATGCGTCCTGAACTCTTCGAAGACTTCGAACCGTCCTCCTTTGAGTAAAGCTCCCACTGAGCGGTATGTACCCCTGCATGAACTGTAAACCTTACATCTTAAACCCACATCCCGTACAGGCTAAGCGGCTAAACCCTGCACGCCGCCGCCGCAAACCAAACCCTCATAGAACCTCTGTGAACCCTGCAACCCACGTTAACATCCTGAAGAAGCCCTAAGCCTAAAGCACTCCAGCACTGAACCCTCGAAACCTATTCCGCAAACCCCTGAACGGTCAAGCCCTAAACCCATACCCCCTATCCCACACCACGACCCTAACATCTGAAGCCCCTGAATCCTCAAACCCCAAATCCCAAAGAAGACCAGACCCCATTAAACCCTTACAACACCCTTTGGTTTAGGGTGTAGGTCTGTATAAAGCCTTAGGTCTTGCAGCCCGAAGCCCAGAAGCCAAGAACGAGATGAGCACATAATTGGCAACGAATATAGGCACCAGGCCAAGAAACCCTGGGTCTTTATTAGGGTTCCTTTTTGGTATGAGTCCCAATATATTTGAAATTTGAGGTTATAGGATCAGGTTTTCCGTACACTGATACACGCGATATGAGCTCAAGAGACTCGAAGTATCATATCAGGCTGATCACCCCAAACTACCCCACTCTCTAAAACCCCGCAGCCCTAAACCGTAAAACCCAAAATCCTAAACCCCAAAATCTTAAAAGCCCGAAACCTTAAAGCCCGAAGCCCTAAAAACCCAAAGCCCTAAACACCAAAATCCTTAACCCTAAACGCCATAGATCTCTTGAGAAACCCTTGAAGATTCCGTGGGAGCCCTCAAAAAATCCTAAACCCCACAGGGTTTAGGGTTTAGGGTTTACCACTTTAGAACTCTATAGCAGCCGTGATAGCAACTCTGATGAGACCCTTTAGAGGAGCCCTCTAAAGGAACACCATTTTGATCATGAAGACCCCTCTTTGACTTCGTCGAAGGTGCTCACGGATCATTGGGCAGAAGGGCGCCGCGCTGCGCTCCAGGCGCTTTGTTTGGACAGTTTGGTAGCTCAAACCCATACTAGGGTTTCAGATCTGGGGATTTAGCGTTTAGGGCTTTAAGGCTTTATGGTTTAGGGCTTTGGATTCAAGGGTTTAGGGCTTCACGGTTTTCCGGATTAGGGCTTAGGAGAGTGACCGTCTTGGGGCACGTTTTGAGTATCTGTTTCAGGGAGCTTGACGGGAGATCTTTGGTGGGGTTGAGGGAAACCTTCGAGAGATTTAGAGGGAGCTTTCCAGACATGTTGGGCTGCAGGGTGCTATGCCAGGCTGTTTTTCAGACTGTTGAGTTTCAAGCTGCTATAATATGGATGTATAGGATTCTTAGCCATAAACCCTAAATCCTAAACCCTAAACCCTAAGCCGTGCAGTTTATTTTTGTAACGTTTCAGGGTGTCCCGGTTTCTGCTCCCAAGATTCCTGGGCGTGCGTCCTAAGCCCTAGAACCCGAACCTGAAACGGACAACCTGAACCTGACAACCGCGAGTCGTTTTCGGGTGTAATTAGAACGTATCAGGGACCCAAAAAAGGGCATAAGCATAAGCATTTCTATAGGGCTTTATCTTAAGGCGTTCGCATGCGATAACGTCAAGTGGGGCGGGCCTCTGGTTCGCTATATATACTAGGTAGGGCTTTGGGGCATTTTATATTTTCCCTTATTGGGCTTAAGAGGATCTTATTTACTAATATTTTTCAAAAGCTTTAAAAGCCCCACCTAGTATATATATATATATATATATATATATATATATATATATGCATGAAATGGAGGCGGGCCTCTGTTTCCTTGTACATGAGAGGAAAGCCACGGAGAGTCGGTGTCGTTTGCAGCACATGGTGGCCCGAGCCTCCGGCGCCATGCAGACGGCCCCCAGAGACTCCAATATCCCTTAATTAAGGAATATTCCTTAAATCATATTAGGGATCCTACTATAAATTAAGGTATATTCCTTAATTAAGGGATATTGGAGTCTCTGGGCCATCCAGATGTTGCAGCGCAACTGGGAGCCGGTGAGCATCCGCGACTTCTTGGAGAAGCCTCCGCCGCCGTCGCTGTAGCTCCCGAACGCTCAGGAGCAACGAGTGGAGTCTCTGAGGACGATGCAGTCGAAAAGACGCATCGAGAGGGAGATCTACAAAACGAGGAAGAAGAAGGGCGGCTAGAGTGGGTTTATATTATGTGCGATATCCCTATCCTAATTTATGCTTACGTGCTTTTTTGGGGCCCTAGTGTAAGGTTTAGGTTTAGGGTTTACGGTTGAGTCCCTAAGATCGAGCCTCCTTCCCTCACGCGGACGGAAACCACGACAAGGCTTTTGCTAAAGACATTGTAAGCCCAGTCACGGCGATGATAAGGTTGAAAGTGCACCGATTGCATCTCCGTTATGTCAACCTAAAGTTAAGTTCCATAAGAAAATAAAAGCCAGCCCCATCCCCATGAACTCAAACCCCCTGCATTATCCTGAGCCTCACAACCTAAACCCTGTGAGCCCTAAACCCTAACATGTAAGCCCGCAGGCCAAGAACAAAGAGCGACAAACAATTGCATTAGTATGCCATGAGTCAATAACGAAAGCTAAAGGAACAACAAGAAATTACGACGCAAACATCCAAAAATCAGAATCTAGACCCTAAGGCCCTAAGCCCTCAACGTACTCCCCCTCCTCGCGCACCCGCCCACCCTCAAAAACGTTTAAAAAAGCATCAACCTCTAAACCGTAAGCCTTCTGGGTAACCTTCTAGCCTCTAAACCCTAAACCCTCAACCCCTGAACCCTAAACCTTCAACCCCTAAACCGCTAAACCCTAAACCCTTCTAGATCCCTTTAAAGGAACCCCTATAGATCCCGTTAAAGGAACCCCTATAGATCCCTTTAAAGGAACCCCTATAGATCCCTTTAAAGGACCCCCTATAGATCCCTTTAGAAGAACCCTAAGCCCAAGAAAAGAGGGGGAGCTCGCGGAGCGCAGGCCGCCGAGCCCTTTGAGCAGGCAATGGGCCACGCCATGGAGCAGGCCCGGTTTAGGGCTTAGTAGTAGTAGTAATAGTAGTAGTAGTAGTAGTAGTAGTAGTAGTAGTAGTAGTAGTAGTAGTAGTAGTAGTAGTAGTAAGTAGTTAGTAGTAGTAGTAGTAGTAGTAGTAGTAGTAGTAGTAGTAGTAGTAGTAGTAGTAGTAGTAGTAGTAGTAGTAGTAGTAGTAGTAGTAGTAGTAGTAGTAGTAGTAGTAGGGCTTACCTTAACCCCGAATAACCTACTTTTTTAAGGACTTATATAAGGAAATCAGAATAGGGAACCTTGAAAAGGTAGGTTATTCAGGCTTAGGGCTGATAGGGCTTTAAGGCCCGGTGCCATGTTTTCCTAAGGGTTTAGGGTTTAGGGGTTCAGGGTTTAGGTGTTTAGGGTTTGGTGGTGCAGGCGCAGGGTTTGGGGTTTAGTGTTTAGGGCTTCGGGCTTTTAGGGTTTGCGGGTTCGGGGGTTTAGGGTGTAGGGGTTCCTTTAAAGGGATCCAGAGAGGTTTAGAGGTTAGGGTTTAGGGGTTTAAGGGTTTAGGCTTCAGGGCCTAGGTTTTAGGTTTTTTGAGGCCTCAGGGGTTTAGGGTCTAAGGTTTATGGATGTTGAGGTCTCCTGACAAGGGTTTAATAAGCACAGTCATTCGCATCTAAAGCCGACCCAGTGGCCCATTTATTTGGGCTGTTGACAGGCTAAAGCAATCCATTGACTGCACAACTCATGTATGGTTTGGGTACGGCCCCCACTCAGTAACATTCATAATAAAGATATCTTAGGACCTTAATGGTAGCCCTATTATAGACTCTTACTGTATGGGGGCAGTACCGAATGCATGGTAAAAGCCTACCAGAGAAGATGATGCGCGGTTTGGCTTTCCAAACCTTAAACCCGCAATCCTAGACCCTGCATTCCAAACCCAAAACCCTAAACCTTAAACCCCAAATAGCCCGATCGTCATGCTTGAAGTAAGGTTGCAAGGTTTCCGCTCGAGGGTTAAGGCGTTAGGGTGGCGAACCGGGTCAGGGTTCGGGTTTCGGGAGTAGCTACGGGGATTATGGAGGAATGAACCTGAGATCAACGCATTAACTTAATTATATCCTGGGGTTATGGGGTTAGCGCTCCAGGTAAAGTGGGCCCTGAATTACATTTGTGAGCTGTGTGGGGGCCAGGTTTCGGGACTGTTGGGGTATGTTGAAACAAAATGGAATAAAGCTAGACCCTGAACCCCATACGACGAGCTCGGCCAGGATGGGGTCAAAGTCGGTTCTTCTGTTCTTTGGAGCCGGATGGCTCACGCGGTCGATCAAATAGAGCGGG